ATGATTCCACCCCCCCCCCCTTCCCCCCCTCCCCCCCCTCCCCCCCCTCCCCGATGTATGTGTGTGTGGTTCATTTTCTTAGGTAGCATCGACCGCGCTAACGGGCTGGCCGATGAAAATATGTCAGTCTTGTAGCGGGGCAAAAAACGCGGACTGTAGGTGTGTGTGTGTGTTTGTGTGTGTTTTTCGTGGTCACTTGCACACCCACCAGACACCGATTTGCAGCGAGTAAATTCCCTCGCCATTCCGATCCATCCTCGATCATCACCCCCCGTCCAGGCCCAAGCGCGGTTCGGTAGTGCTTCTACTCAACTCCGGCGACCCAACCCCGCTCCACACCTGGAGGCTGCCGGGCGACACGCCGACGAGCATGCGGCTGCTGCTTGGCAGCGGCGGGGGGCGGGAAGGCGTGCTCTGCCTCACGCAGAGGGGCGAGTTGCTTATGCTCTCGGTGGCCGGGGCACCGTCGACTGCGGCGGGGAGGGGGGAAGCGTCGGTTCCGCGGCCGCGACAGCAGCAGGTGCGTGAAAGCCGGAGTTTCGACTTTGTCGGAGAATTTGTTCCACCTCAAAAGTGTGCGATTCTCTTGGTCGTAATTGCAGTGTGACGACGCGGTTTGGTGTTGGTTGACTTGTCCACCGAGACTGGCGGATCAGCTATTTTTTGCACGGCAGATTGCGTGCGAGGCAGCCGCGGTTTTCCTGTTTTTTTTTGGTATAGTGTGACCTGCAAATCCTCTCCCGCTCTCTTCCCCGCCCCAACCCTGGAACCTGTCCATGGTTGCCAACTCCACCATAAGTTTTAGTAGGTGTCAAAGCCGCCCCTGTTCTCTGCTCACTTTGATGTTTGTTCCCGTCCCTACTTTGTAGCTTTTCGTGCACCTCGTGGGCACGAGCCTCCCCGGGATTGTTGCCCCCCCCCCCCACCGGAGTTCCCATCCGTGTCGCGTGGCCTTTTTTGACGGGAGAATAGTATGCATACGGTTCTTACGTGGCGTTTATTAACTAGTGAGCACCGATTTGGCCCCCCGCCACCTTTGGCAAAGTAGGAAGGAATGATTGACCATCGGGTATCGGTCCTGTGGGAACAATGCCCCGTCCTCTCGAGTTGACGCGTGGTCATGGTCTAACAACCTACGGCGTCAAGACATGAGTACCCCCCCCCCCTCCCCCCTCGATGACCAGCTTCTGATTGAAAGGTATACTACCCTGGTCCGGCGAAAAGTCGGCGTATCGCTCCTTCCTGGCATGCGAGGTCAATTGTCTAAATAGCGACATTCGGCATACGATTACGCACGCGTACCCCTCCCCTGCCGTCTATCCGTCTAACGAGCACGGCACGCGTTTAAATCTGGTTTCGGCACCATTCGGCAGGTTGCCAGCGGCGTGGGAGTTCTCCGGATGAAGCACGGCGCCTCTGCCCCGGCCCTGCACCTCTCTGCCGCGTCCAAGAGAGCGCTGTTGGCGGTCGATCTCGCCGCTTCCGACCCCGCATTGGCATCGGGCGGCGGGGGGAAACGCCTGAGGGTTTCTACAGCTACAGCAGGAGGTGACGACGGCGAGGAGGAGGAGGAGGGGCCTGATGTTGGTCACGCTGGAGGGCGGGGTGAGTCCATGCTGCACCGCCGTTTCGAAGTGCAATAAGCAGGTTCTCACGCTTATTGAAAAACATGGGTTCGTTATGTGTTTATTTATAGACGAAATCCTGGACTCTTCTCCGTGGGAACGTTGTGTGATAGTCCATGAAAAATAATGTAAAAGATAGACCCTTAAGTGTTTTGTGATGTGAATGGACCCCTCCTGAACAGACAAAACAAACACGAGTTGAAAAGTGGCACCGGGATAGATCGGGTCGAAGCGCCCACACACAACTCATGATTGAAACAAAATGCCGCAATAAATGTTTTCTTTAATCTGTTGGAATGTCGTACGGAACAAGTAGGAGGTGCCCGATGCAAGCCGAGAATGTTTCTTGTCGTTTGTGGAAGGTTGGAACATCTCGTATCGATTGCACGGTCTCGGTTGTGCAGGAGTATAGACATGAGATACCTCCGTTGGGGCGGACAGGGCGAGATGATGTCGGCCGTAGGCAAGAGTTGTCTGAGATTGGCGTGAAACAGCAACAGAAGATTGACGTGGGACAGCAGGAAAATGACTTTTCGAGGTGCTTTCTTTTTCACCTGTGCACGGTGATCGTTAGATGTTGCGTTCGGTGCCGTTCACGACGTCTATTGTGAAGGGGTATCGTACAGGGGGGTTCCGCCCGCTTCCGCCGGGGGGGGGCAGGCTGCGTTCAAGCCCGCATTTGAGCATGAGGATATTGTATAATAGCAGCAGTAGAAGATGCCAAGTGGCTAAGGTAGAGCCGAATGTAGACGGGCGCCGAACGTATCGGTGTAGCTGAACGGAAGTTGGTGCTGTTGTTGTTGTCGTCGTTTTGTATCAACAGCACTTCCGTTCTCCGCTCGAAATAAGGAGAAGAACCGCACGTACCCGTTGGACGCTTGCAGGAACACACACAACAGGGAGAGACGTATCGAAACTAACGCACCACGTGCGATACCTCGTTTGTAGCGTGGTTGATATCAGTGTATCTATTTTGTATCGATCGCTGAGACCTGCAGAACAGTTGCTATACATATGTTGGCACACCCGCCCCGCGGAGCCCAAAGTATGCACACGTCCGTGTGTCTTTCCCAAAGAGCCAATAATCCACACGTTCTCATTTCTTCCCAAGACTTGTTGAAATCGATCAACCACAATATTTATGTGGTAGTGCACAGGTGTCATGCTGTCGTCCAAATGCTGAACAACCGCATATTATATACAGCAGTGTTGCAAAGGCAGATAAATAGTAGACATTGAGGCCCATCAGCAGCGCGGCACTGAATGTTGACGGCGGTGCTTGCTTGACGGATTTGTGGGAACAAACCATGGCGAGATGAAAACTCTCGCAATAACTACTTTACCCGAACGAACGAACTGCACGTATGCACTTCCCCTGTCAGCCAATAGCAGGGGCGTTTTTTGTTTCGGTTCGGGTACGTCGCTAGCGGATGTTCCGCTTCGCAGGCCGCGTTGCGTTGCCACTAGCGTGGGGCGTGGCGGGCATGAGGGCGCGAGACATCCCCGGGCAGGCCACGTGTATTTCAGGCCAGCCTTAGGCGAAATCCCGACGCAAAACTATTTTGAGTGCGATATTTATTGACTTTTTTCGCCTCTGGGCTCCTGTGGTGAGAGAGGTGTAATGTATGCTAGAGATTGAGAGGCGCGTATCGCTGGGAACTCGGCAAAGCGAGGAGCGTCGAAGCGTCATGTGAAGCTTAGCATGTCTGTAGATAGCTTTATACTCGAGATTGTACACCCCGGGTGATCAGATTTTGCGTTATAGGAAAGACTGTTGCTGGGTGTTATTTTGTGGGTCGTGTGGTCTCTTTTGCTGCCCTACTGCTTTATCTGAGACAGTTTGGGCTGATGTCGGCACGTAATAATATTCCCATTGTGTGTGGTGTTGTTTGAGAAATTGAGGCTAAAAGTCAACATTGAAGAACTTGAGCACCATTTGTGAGCTCGGTAAAGAAGCCCGTCCACTTCATTACTATTAAACCTGTATGACGACCATTCGCAGCATGACCCTAGGAGTTCAGTAAGAACCCCAGCGTCGGCCGAAACTATTAATAGAGGTTCTGTAGTTGTGGCGCGTTCTGCACCGCGGGCAATTCGTGCTGTACAGGTTCTCCCGTTTTTTTCTGTCACAGCAGCAAACTCAAGATACAGTAGCAGCGGCATGTGACTCGCTGTCTTCCGGTTCTTGTTTCGCATGGCATACTGATGCCCCCCCCCCCCCCCC